CTCACCACGTCACCACAAACCTCACCACACGTCACCACAAAATCATTCACCTTGATCTGTTGATTCATCCTCCATAAGAGTGTTGCTACTGGGTGTACAATTATGGCTGCGATGTTGTTGTTTTCCCCTAAATTTACCTGTACATTTAATCTAGAGTAATAAGAACATAAGAATATATGAATGGAGGAAACTGCAGCGGGCCTATTGGCCCATACTGTGCAGTCCCATTTACACCCAACCCCTATTGCTCATATTAGCATCCACCCTATGTTTGAGGCTATCCAACGTATTCGAGTTAATGATGATATTTGGTAATTTGTTCCAATCATCCACTACTCTATTTCCAAACCAATGTTTACCTAATTCGCGCCTAATTCTAAATTTGTCTAATTTAAAACCATTGATACGAGTTAACTTCTGGTTGGATAGTTTGAGTACCTTTGTAATGTCCCCTTTGTTCAGCCCTGCCTTCCATTTATACACCTCTATCATATCTCCCCTCACTCTACGTCTCTCGAGGGAGTGTAAATTAAGATGCTTTAACCTGTCTCTGTACTCAAGTTTCCTAATGCCCGGGATAAGTCTTGTCATTCTCCTCTGAATTCCTTCCAAGGATTCTATATCCATTCTGTAATGCCGTGACCAGAATTGAACTGCGTAATGCAAGTGAGGTCTCACAAGCGCAAGATATAGTTTTAGGATGACCTTACTAGTCTTGTAACTAACACTCCTTTGTATTAACCCAAGTACTTTATTAGCCTTGTTTCGAGCAAATACACATTGTTTACTTGGCTTAAGATTCCTACTTATCATTACTCCTAAATCTTTCTCGCAGTCGGATTTCTCAAGAACATCGTTGTTCATCTGGTATCTAGTTTCCCTGTTTATATCTCCTATACTGAGTACTTTACATTTGTCCACATTGAATTTCATCTGCCCTTTTTCACACCATTCGAAAAATTTGCTTAGATCTTCCTGTAGCTTGCGGAGCCATCGTCAGATTCAATTACACGCCCTATTTTAGTGTCATCAGCAAATTTACCAATGTTGCTGTCTACGCCGATATTTATGTCGTTTATGTATATAATAAATAATAATGGTCAAAAAACTGAGCCTGTAACAACGCCCTAATCTATTTTAGAATATTTCCTTTAATGCCACGAGCCTCCACTTTTCTTATAAGTCTTTCGTGGGGGACTCTGTCGAAGTCTTTGCTAAAGTCGAGATATACCACATCATAATTGTGCCACTCGTCCTCTGATTCGAAAACAGATGAAAAGAGTGTTAATAGATTAGTTAGACATGAACGCCCATTTGTGAAACCATGTTGGGAATCATTGATCAACTTGTGCTTCTCCAGGTGATTTCGAATAGAGTTTGAAATTATTGCTTCCAGTAATTTTCCTAAAATTGATGTTAGACTGATTGGACGGTAGTTAGAGGATAGTGATCTATCTCCCTTCTTGAAAATCGGTATTACATTCGCTATCCTCCAGGATTCTGGAACTACACCCGTTTTTAAGGACATGTTAAACAGCTTTGCTAAGGGCATACTAAGCTCTTCCTTACATTCCTTTAATATTCTGGCAAATATCTCATCGGGACCTGGTGACTTATTAGGCTTTAGTTTGTCTATTTGCTTACTAACATCGTTACTAGTCACTACTATCTCGCTTAATTTATTTTCTTCACTATCTCTGTATAGAGTCGGTGCCTCGGGAATCATGTTTAAATTTTCGGTGGTGAAAACTGTTAACAAATATGTATTCAGATTATTGCTCATTTCTCCGTCGTTATCAGTTAGCTCGCTGGTATCTGACTGTATTGGTCCAATCTTTTCTCGTGTTTTAGTTTGATACATTTGATAGAATCCCTTGGGGTTTGACTTCGCCTCCCTTGCTACTTTCAGATCATTATTCCTTTGCTTTTCTTATCTCGGTCTTAACCCTACCGGCCAATACCTTATAATAATCTCGGAGGTAAACTTCACCACGATTTATTCTCCTACCTATAGCCTTTCTTTGTCCAATAATATTCTTTAAATAATTATTTATCCATTTACGGTCATTGTTGTTTGATATGAGTTTTCTGTAGAGGTAATGTTCTGCCTTTGTGCATTAAGTAACTTATTATTCTAATTGGAATCTTATTTCTTTGTAATCACTGTTAGCAAGTTCGTTCCCTACCTCGACATTACTAATGAGGTTTTCTTTGTTTGACAGAACTTAATCGAGCATATTATTACCCCTAGTGGGTTTGGTTATATGTTGGCTTAGGAAACAGTCCTGAACTGTTTCAAGAAAATCCTCTGATTCTGAGTTACCCTTAAGGTCAATCCAATCTATTTGGCCAAAGTTAAAGTCGCCTACTATACAGACTTTGTTGTGTATGGAAGCCCTGCACATTTCATCCCAGATAAGTCGCTCATTAAATCTATCAAGATTAGGAGGTCTATATATTACTCCTGTGATTAATTTTTCCCTACCATCGATTAATTCTATCCAAATTGCTTCCGTATTCCGCTCAGTTTTTATTTCCTTATTTATTTCACACTTCAGATTATCCCTGACATAGATTGCTACTCAGCCTCGTTTCCTAATCTGCCTATCTGTATGGAATAATTGGTAACCTGCAATTTGGTATTCGACAGGTAACTCACGTGAGTCTACGTTTATCCATGTTTCGGTGAATGCTATTATATCGATTTTTTTCGGTACATACCAGTGCCCTGATTTCATCCATTTTGTTTCTCATACTTCTACTGTTTGCATAGTAGACATTTAAGTTAGTTGTGTTCTGGGTCCTCTCTTTGTGGCGTTTAGGTTTTAACTCCCTGCCTAATTTAGTTTTGTCATCATTCCTATCACTATTTCCCTGTAACCTTTCACTTTGTTTACCTGCTCCCACTGCAGTCTCCTCCACCTCCGTGCCCATATGTTCTCCTAGCACCTTAAAGACTCCGACATCTTTTTAACTGCCCTCTCGAGAGAGCCAGCCAGGGTTGCCACCCCATCCCTAGACAGATGCACCTTATCCCTAGCATAAAGGTCCCTTCTGCCGTAAAAGTTGTCACGGTTGTCAATGAATGGGACTGATATTGACTTGCAATATCCGTCAAGACGGCCGTTGACACCAACTCCCCTTGACAACCATTCATTGCCAACTCTCCTTCTGAGCAGGACACCACATATGAAAGGGATCCCTCCCTTCGACCTAATACGGTCTATAGCTGTCTTGGACTTATCAAGAAGCTCTTCACTCCTACACCGGCCAATATCATTGCCTCCTGCACTGAGGTAGATAATGGGTTTGTTCCCATTACCAGACAAGATATTGTCCATCCTGTCAACAATATCCCCCACCCCAGCTCCTGGCAAACACACCCTCATCCTATTTTTGTTTTTACCACAAAAAGCTCTGTCTAGGTACCGTACCTGGGAGTCGCTAACAATTAAGGTTTTCGTACCTTCCTTGTCAGCCTTATCCCTGACTATGCTAACGTCCAATTCATCTATCAAAGGACTGAAAGAGTTGGTACACTTAGTTGTTGTTGTCGTATCCTTTGTGTGTTTTTTTTCACCACCACCAATTCAATATTAATCCTCAGTTGCCAGTACCGTACATTATCATCATTACCCCCTAGAAGGAAGTCCATGGGATCAGCCCTTTTTCATTCCCCCACTCCACATAATATTTTCTTCCAAAGGTAAAAACAAAAAACAAAATCTCATCATTTCTTGGATATTGTTCACGCTAGGATGTTGTCCAATGCTTCCTGTTTTTCTTTAATTTCAGTGTGTAATGATGGACTCAACTCTGTGAGCAAATGTAAACACTGACCTGAGAGTGAACCATTGTGGGTTGTTTGGTAATCACGTAACACAGTATTAGAGAAGGTAACGCGCTATCACTCCAACACTGTTATTCTTGTTTGTGTGGTGATGACAACATTCCGTATAAAACACTCTATGAATGTTTGCTGGAGTCACAGAAGAAGAAATGTAAGAAGACACAGAAGACCATGTTGGTAGAGAAGAAAGAAAGAAGAAAATGAAAGAAGTGACAGAAGACCGTGTTGGTAGAGAAGAAAGAAAGAAGAAAATGAAAGAAGTCACAGCAAAGCCAACACATCTCTCACGACAGAAGAAAAAATAATGAGATCAAGTAGGAAGTGATAAATAAGTGGTCAGTCTTTCTCTTCATGGCACTCAAGAGGTCAGATGCAACAATGGCTGTCTGGTGGTACTGATTATTGAACTGATCTAAGTATTATTCTCCTAATGGTAGATGATTAGTGAGGGTGTGGCTGGGGGGGAGGAGGTGGTGTAAGGGAAGGAGAGGGAGGGTAGGGAGGAAGTGGAGGGAGAGGGTAAGGAGGGAGGAAGGAGAGTGAGGGATAGGAGGAAGGGATGGGAGGGTAGGAAGGAAGGGGGAGGGGAGGGGGAGGGAGGGACGGGGAGAAGGGGAAGGGGGGTAGTGAGGAAGGGGAAGGGAGGGAGGGAGAGGAAGAGGAAGGGGAGTGAGGGAAGGTAGAGAGAGAGATTATATATAGGACAAACACTCGGACACTTGTGTAACAGTGTTGGTGTGTGTGTGTGTGTGTGTGTGTGTGTGTGTGTGTGTGTGTGTGTGTGTGTGTGTGTGTGTGTGTGTGTGTGTGTGTGTGTGTGTGTGTGGTTCACTCCTCCTTGACCTTTACCTGCCTGAGTGTGTGGCTAAATATATCGTTCTTCCAATTTATCGGTAACACTTAACTCTAATTCTATCTCATCCCTTTTCTCCCGTTCTCTCCTTCCCTACCACCTGCATCACCATGGCAACACTCACAAGGTGCTCCTCCTCATCCCGTCACTATGGCAACGCCCAAACATAAACATTTCCTGACGTCTTCCACTGACCCGAATTTACCTTGACAACTAACAACTTCCGTAGCTATCACGCACGTCCTGAGGAAATCTTTTATGAGAAGTTGTCTTTGCTGATTCACGTTTTGTGTCCTCATGAGCCTAGTCTCTGTGCTGATGATTCCCGACCACCTAAACCTGCGCCTTGGCTCACGGGAACTCAATCATATTGTAGTCATGTGTCCCAACTATAGGGCCTCAACCTACCGCTGGTGTCTAGTCGTGAGTTTGTGAGCTTTGTCCTGCCAGTAACAGACACAAGTAGAACAATTTAAAGGGATTCCAGAGCAGCAGAATTCACCCTTGCGGATTGCTCAGTAACACTTGCCACGGCAGCCCCACCTAGTGCCCGGGGCGATAACTACAGAGATAAAAGTTTGAGTTGCTTTAAGGTTCCATTAAATCTCTCCTTGATCTTTTGTAGTACAGGGCGAGTAGTAGTGACTGTTTTAGTCTCTCTCGGCAAGTATGGTGTCCGTATGGTGGTCGTCTTGTGTACTTTGGTATACTATATCTCCAACACCAAGAAGAATGACAGTACTCCAACACACTTCACAACCCTTATTACAGACACACCAACACTCGTTTCTATCCAACTAACTCATCACCAGAGGTCATCACACAATGATCCGAGAACTTCAGTTTGTTGTCAGTAGAAACACTCGGGTGTCTCTTTCGAGCGTATGTCATGTTATATATTATGAAAATGACGACAGTGGTCTTAGCATACTGTCCAGCACCACTCATTGTGATTTCGAGCCACTGATTATCGTCAAAAGAGTCACCAACCTATGACTAAATTTTCCCGTATTTCTTATTTATTCGTTGTTATTTTCAACTCTCCATGAAGTACGTTGTCAAATCCCCTGACAGTCAAGGTATAATTATATTGTCAGTGTTGTCACCACCTCCAGGGATTTACGACCATATATCCAACACCTCCAGCAGCTGGGTCCAGACATAAACCGTGCTGGCATCCTTCACAAGGTTGTTTCTTGGTAGATGGTCCGTCAAGCTCACTAACTTACTAATTCGATAATGACTATTATCATTATTATTATTACAGTTACTGTATTATTATCATCATTATTTTATTATTTTATTTTTATTTGTTTTATCATAAATTTTATTTATTATGAATTATTATGACTATTATTTATTATTATTTTTATTATTATTATTATTATTAATATTATTATTATTATTATTATTATTATTATTATTATTATTATTATTATTATTATAATTATTATTATTATTATTATCATTATTATTGTTACATTTTCGCCCCCCAGGCCCCGATGTGGGTCAGTGACCTGTGCCCGGGTGGGCTAATCCCCGTAAAAAAAAACAAAAAAAAACATGTTGATCTCCAGTCATTAGGGATTTTTTTTTTATATTTCTGTAAGACAAGATATTGAATTACTCTCTTGATGCTTCGGGATGAACTCTGTCAGCCTCAGGACTTTAATACTTTATCCTTAAGATTAAATGATACTGATTCACTCGTCTGAGAAATCTATAGACGTATTTCAGCTCTGTACCAAGGTGTACGTTCTCAAAGTTAGGTAAGTCCTTTGCATCCTCGCTTGTAAATGATGAAAATATTTCATTTACTACTTGAACTTGTCCTGATCCCAGTCTTCTTCGCTCTCACCTTCACGTCTGAGTCTGATGCAGCCTCACGGTGTCCCTCAATTGGATTTAAAAAGGCTAGAGAGCTTCAGGGTTCGACTGGGCCAAGGATGCGACCTGTCCCTAAAAAAAGAAAGCTTTCTTTCCGCCTTTCTACATTCTGAAGTGCTTTGATTTCTGAAGCCAACACAGGTCACTCTGTTCTGCTCATCATTAGTGAAGAAACTCAGACATTTCTTCCCGACTTTAAAAATTGCCTCTTGATTTATGTGTAAATGTTACCTGGTTTTACGTGAACTCAAAACTTAGACTGGGTACGTTTTTGCCCATCAAATATTTTACTTTAATCTTATGATGTTCCAACAAGAGTCCATGTAACTAGTTCTCAATATAAGAGTATTTTATAGTGTGTTAGTGCATGTGGACCCCTGGCTTAAGGTGAGTAACTCAGCTAACTTTTTCGATTAGTCTGAAGTCAACCTCTTGGAGTCAGTTCCATGGTCCCAGCTGCTGGAGCCATGAGACTGTATTATGGTCGTGAGGTTTGGGTCACTTAAGGCTGCTGTGTTCTGATCTTCCTCTTGGCTAATGGGGTGATTGTCTAGTACTCTTATAATATCAGATCTGAAGTACATAACTATAATGATCTATATATACAGCTATATATCTATATTTAGTGACAAGTATGACGAGGTTGAAACTGTTATACGGCTTACACCTGGTCCACGTGTTGGCTTGTACAACACCTGAGTCTACCTGTGGTCACAAACTTCAGCCCTACTCTTGTACAGAAACTGAACAACTTGGGATTAATAATATTTTCAAAGCACCTTAAGTTGACGTGCTGAACGGTTATATTTGGTACAATTACCACTCCTAAATCTTCACATTCAGTGTCCACAAACTAAATGTATAGCAACTTACGTTCTCTTATCGTGACATTTTTACGACATTCGACAATTTATTGCCTCACAAAACTGTGAGTGGGTGGCCATGTTTACCCGTGAGGTGCTGTCGACGGCCCGCGCCACAGACCTGCTCTCGTGTGAAGCCTCTTAGCCGTGAAACTCTGCTTAAACCTCCAGGAGACGCAGTGAAGAAGCCTCACGATTACATGTTAATCTCATAAAGCCTTACAGGGCTGAGATTGGTTACAGGGAGATATATAACACAGGTAGATGATGGAGAGGAATGATTGACAGAGGAAAGATGAGAGGGTAAGGGGAGAGGGGAGGGGGCTGGGAGAGGGTGGAGGGGGCGGGGAGAGGGAGGAGAAGGAGGGATAAGGTGAGGGTGTGAGGAGGAGAAGGGAGACAGAAGCCACAAGGGGAAACTGGTCAGAATATCATGTTGTTGGTGAGAATATTAAGGAGGTGGTGGAGGTGTTTTGGTAGAGCTCTCACACACATACCTTGCCCCCCCCTCCCCCACCCTGCCACCTGCTGCTCTACTCCTATTATAACCATACCTGTCAACATAGCCACACCTGTTAAGTACTTATAATCACACCTGTCAAGTATTTATAACCACACCTGTCAAGTATTTATAACCACACCTGTCAAGTATTTATAACCACAGGTGTCAAGCCTCATAACCACAAATCAAGCCTCATTAGCCAGCACTTATTAACCACGTAACTTTCTTCATTACGTCACAGTCTCAGGAGGTATATAAGGGCACCTTCATTTACCTGCCAGAAACACCCTCATTTATTCTCTCCAGAGCCTTAATGAGGAAATTGGAGACACACTCGTTATAACACGAATAATTACGTTGTTTAGTGTATTTACCTACGAGTTTAATGATGTTATTGTTGAAATACAGGTAAGGTTAGGTAAGGTAGGTGTATAGTAGGTAAGGCAAGGTAAGGTAGGGTAAGGTAAGGTAAGGTAAGGTAAGGTAAGGTAAGGTAAGGTAGGGTAAGGTAAGGTAAGGTGAGGTAAGGTGAGGTAGGATAGGGTAGGGTACAAAGTAGGGTAAGGTAAGGTAAGGTAAGGTAAGGTAATGTAATGTAATGTAAGGCAAGGTGTAAGGTAAGGTAGGTAAGGTACAAGGTACGGTAAAATAATGTAAGGTAAGGGTAAGGTAAGGTAAGGTAAGGTAGGGGTAAGGTAAGGTAAGGTAAGGTAAGGTAAGCAATGGTAAAGAAGGTAAGGTAAGGTAAGGTAAGGTAAGGTAAGGTAAGGTACAGTAAGGTAAGGTAAGGTAGGGTAGGGTGTAGTGTTGCAAGGTAGGGAAGGTAAGGTAAAGTAATGTAAGGTAAAGTAGGGTAAGGTAAGGTAAGTTAAGGTAAGGTAAGGTAAGGTACTAAAGAAGGTAAGGTATGTAAGGTAAGGTAAGCTATACGGTAAAGTAGGTAAGGTAAGGTAAGGTAAGGTATGAAGGTACAGAAAGAGGGTACAAGGTAAAGTAGGTAAGGTAAGGTAAGGCAAGGCAAGGTGGGAAGGTAAGGTATATTAGGTAAGGTAAGGTACAAGGTAAGGCACGGTAAAGTAGGTAAGGTAAGGTAAGGTAAGGTAAGCTATTGCAAGGAAGTAGGTAAGGTAAGGTATGTAAGGTAAGGTAAGGCAAGGTAAGGTAAGGTAAGGTAAAGAGGTAAGGTAAGGTAAAGTAGGTAAGGTAAGGTATAAGGTAAGGTAGGGGAAGGTAAGGGTAAGGTTAGGTATGTAAGGTATGTATATAAGGTAAGGTAAGGTAAAGTAGGTAAGGTAAGGTAAAAGTAGGTAAGGTAAGGTATGTAAGGTAAAGTAGGTAAGGTTAGGTAAGGTAGGGAATAAGGTAAGGTAAGGTAAGGTTGTAAAGTAGGTAAGGTAAGGTAAGGTAAGGTAAGGTAGGGAAGGTAAGGTAAGGTAAAGTAGGTAAGGTAAGGTAAGGTAGGGAAGGTAAGGTATGTAAGGTTAAGGTAAGGTAAGGTAAGGTAAAGAGGGTAAGGTAAGGTAAGGTAGGGAAGGTAAGGTAAGGTAAGGCAAGGTAAGGTAAGGGTAAGGTAGGGTAAGGTAAGGTACAGGAGGTAAGGTGAGGTAGGGTAGGTAAGGAAGTTAGGTAAGATAAGGTAAGGTAAGGTAAGAATGTAATGTATGTGTTGCAAGGTAAGGTAATGTAAGGTAGGTAAGGTAAGGTAAGGTAAGGTAAGGTAAGGTAAGGTAAGGTAAGGTAGGGTAAGGTAAGGTAAGGTGAGGTAAGGTGAGGTAGGATAGGTAGGGTATAAAATAGGTAAGGTAAGGTAAGGTAATGTAAGGTAAGGTAAGGTAAGGTAAGGTAAAGTAGGTAGGGTAAGGTATGACGAAAGGTAAGGTAAGGTAAGGTAAGGTAAGGTAGGGTAAGGTAAGGTAAGGTGAGGTAAGGTGAGGTAGGATAGGGTAGGGTAAGGTAAAGTAGGGTAAGGTAAGGTAAGGTATTGTAATGTAAGGTAAGGTAAGGTAATGTAATGTAAGGTAGGGTAAGGTAAGGTAAGGTAAGGTAAGGTAAGGTAAGGTAAGGTAGGGTAAGGTAAGGTAACGTAAGGTAAGGTAGGGGTAAAGGTAAGGTAAGGTAAGGTAAGGTAAGGCAATGGTAAAGTAGGTAAGGTAAGGTATAAGGTAAAGTAGGTAA